TTTTTCATATGTTTTTGTAAGAACTCTGTGAGTTTTCAGGTCACTCACATCTTTATTCCATTCGGTGATTTTTTATGAGTTTGAAAGATTAAAAAAATCTAACATTATTTTCTTCAATGTAAGAGTATAGAGAAGCCTATGTAGAGTATCCTTGAATCTTATCATAAAATCAATAAAATTTAGTATATTCGAGAATAAGTATTTTGCTCTATATAAACGAGCTATAAATTACAAAGTCCATAAATATGACAAAAAACGACTTGTTCTCAAGAAGCTCTTTTAATATATTTAATCAAATATTTTTCTATTATTCTTTTATAATAGAACAATAAAGATCAGTGCAAATATAAGCCAAAGTCCACAAAGAAAAAAAGATATTGAATGTTACTAGAGTATGAATATTGTACACAAAATATACATATTACTTTTCAATTTCCCAAAAAAAAAATCACATCATCGAAATTCAGCAATCTATAATGTGGCGATATGACTATCGGAAATGTCTGTGTTCAGTGATTTTCATTACGATGATTGACACTACCGGCAAGATTCTAAGATGATATCTGCAGTACTACATCATTATACAGTATAAGTTCAAAACGGATCATCACAACAAATCCATCGATCTCCATGCCAGCGATATCGGTATTTTGACTATTTTTAGATTTACTTTAGATATCACTGATTGAGATCATTAACTTCAAATTTACGAATAAAAATTGTTGTGGGTTTCTTTTATGATTATGTTTCGTTGTATATCTTGATTTGTGCAATCATGACATTATATTTTATTTTTTAAAGAATAAAAGGCTTAACAATTTCTTTTTTCTTTTTTTTTTACTGTATTCTGTATTTATAAAAGAATGTGTTTTTATATCGCCTTGTTATTTTATTAGAACAATCATGGATCGAGGAAGGTTTGTAGATATATATATTTTTTTGTTTTTTATCAAAATTGTTACTGAATATTTAATATCATTGTTCGATTTTCTTTTCATAATTCTGTTGTGCTCTTACATTACCATAACAAAAACAAAAATGTTCGCAATCGAGATATTTTCTAATATGTAATTAGAGACAAGATAATCTTATGACAGGACAAAAAAAAAAGAAAACGTAATTATGATTAACCCAAAAAGCAGATGTCTATATCTCTCTACTTGATGTCTATTAATATTTATATATGCTAAGAACAAATAAAATGTCCTTACATATTTTCTGACAAAAACAACTCAAAGAACTATCAGCTGTCAGTTTTTGACATGTCTAACGAGTCATCTACTGATAATCATCATTCGAAAACGTAAATGTTCTATTTTTCTTTTTATCAATACAAATTTTTGATAACATAATTCATTATTTCTAAGATTTAAAATAAATTATTCTTTTATTTACATACAATATAGAACGATAACACTTGTATTAGCTGCCCTTCTGGGAGTATTTCTTATATTAACCATTGTATTTGCTGCTTTATATGGAGTTGAAAGGAATAAAACATCGTCATCGGCACCTACATCGTCATCGACTACTAATACCCCAAGTATGAAATATTTTATTTTCTATTTGCAATTATTTTTGTTTTATTTCTAGTCAATAATGATTTATGTGTAACACCATATTGTATTAAAGCAGGTTAGTTCTATTTAAAAAGAATGAATTAAATTCTTTTATTTTGAAATTTAATAGCAAATTATTTACTTGAAAGTATTGATAAAACTGCTGATCCATGTGAAAATTTCTTTGAATTTACTTGTGGAACATGGTTAAAAAATCATCGAATACCTGAAGATGGTAAATTGATTAAGTTCTTTTTCTTTTTGTAATAGATCAAAATAAATTTGATTTGTTTTTAGCGGGATCTCAAGATACAATTAATGTTCTACGAATTCAATTAGATAATGATATTGTTGGTAAATATAAATGATAGATTAATTTTAAATATTCGATTAGTTTTTATGATGAAATCAAGAATGTGACACTCTTCTACTTTTGAAAATTGTCGATATAGTATTTCTTTTTCTCATAAATGTATTAAACTTGAAAGCTGAATTCAATAGAAGTATCAAGTTTCAAATAAGTCCAGACATTCTCTTGATTTGAAGACTTCAAAAACAAGACGATTGAAATTTGAAACTTGAAGAGTAATTATTCAATAGAATTCAACTTCCAAGTTTGACACTATTGAATTCTCAAAAGGAACTTCATTGTAATCAATTGCTTTGGTTTTTATTTGAAAGAGTACGCGAAGCTGCATGATGGCGAACTGAAAATTTTATGTGATTTGAATGTATCTAATCGAAGATCGACTTTAGAGGGGCGAGAGCTTAAGAAATATGATAGTTCGGACTCGATCTGTGGATGAGATTCGAATTGTGAAGCGATTCACAATTTATTGTTCTTCCCTAAAATATGAAAAAAAAGCTCTTATAACCTTAATAGATCGTTATATCAAAATACTTGAAAATAATTGCAGAATTTCAAACGATATCCAATTGCATTCAATTAAACAGTAATGATATAACTGTTGACCTTTTTTGCTTTCTGATAGATATGTATAGGAATAAAAATAGTTTGCATCTCGTCATTGATCTATTAAAAGAATATTATCATTAACAATTGTCTCATTGCATATTTCTTGTCAAAATAAGAAATAAAGGTCAACAATGATACCATCGTTTGTTAATAGTTACCATTTTTTAGAGACTTTTATAAAAGAATGCACCACTGTTATCATAGTTTCATAATAAAGTTAAAGCCTGAAATCTTGCAATGACCTCTAAGAAGTGTTACCATCCTTTATGATATTGAGCTGATATTTTGGGTGCATACGTGTGACAATAAAACCTGGTCCACTTATGAAATTTCTATTAACAGATTTGGATGAAAGATCTCTGGAAAGTTAAGGCGTTACAAAAATACTATCAACAAGCTCGTCAGATAGAGATAGCATTTTTGAACAAATCTGAACTATCTTCAGCAAACGACAATCTGCGATAGGCCTAAAATGGTGGTGGACATTTCGCACTAAGTCATTCCGAACTCCTGTCATGTGTTCGAGTGTTCGGAAATTATTTTTGTCCTGGACAATGTTCATTACAAACACCCCGCTTTTTTTAAATTTTTGTACTCCGGATTCCCGTACACATAATTACGAATACCCTGTCTTTTTTCCTTATGTTCAGAGATAATAAACGAACTCCGCCGCCGGAAGTTCGTAATGAAAAGTTGGTGCGAAATGTCCCTTTCTCGCCTAAAAGGCTGTTTTCTATTGTTTATATGAAAATTTATATGAATTTACTGTGTTGTACACTTCGAAGCCTTTCCATAGTATGAATGCAGTTTGTTAAAGATAGATCGTGGACACATTTTATTTTGTTTCTCTATGATTGTTAAGAAAAAAGTCAAAAATACATTGTTTCTAAACTATTTTTGCTTTCATTCTACATATTACAATTCCAGTTAATTTCTATCGATAAATCTATTAATTCAATCGAATTACTTTTTCCATTTGTATTTATTAAGATATGTTAACTAATCCACTTCCAAATGATACAGCCCATATTCAATCTTTAATTAATGCTCGTCATTTTTATGATTCATGTATTAATGAAACAGCTATAGAATTAGAGGCTATAAATGAAATACTTTCTTTTATCAATAATGAACTTGGTGGTTGGCCAATTTTACAAGGTTCATCATGGAATCCTTCATCATTTAATCTTTCACGTTTATTACTTAAATTACGTGAATATAGTCATAATATATTATATGGCTGTAGTACATCACCTGATGATAGAAATTCTTCTGTTTATTTTATTCGAGTAAAAAAAACAAATTAAAATTTAATCAATGAATTTCTCTTTTTTTTTCTTATATATATATTTATTTAGGTTTATCAAAGTGATATTGCTCTTGAACAACGAACAAATTATGATAATGAAAAAATTACTACTGCTTATCAAAATTTTATTCGTGATTTAGCTGTAGCTTTAAGAAATGATACAACAGGAGTTAACGCAGATGTTGCAGATATTTATAATTTTGAAAAAAATATTTCAAAGGTAAATAAAAAATGTTTTTTTTCTTTTTATGATAAATGAAATAAATAAAAATATTTAGTTTCATTGGACACCTGCTGAACAACGTGCTAGACTTAATGAAACAGTTCGTACAACTATTGGTAATCTTTCACGAACATTTAATACAAGTGTAAATATTCATTATTTATTTATAAAATTTCTTTTCTTTTTTTGTTTTGTTTTATCTTCTTAATTTAGTTTGATTTTACAAATTATCTTCGACAAGTTTATGCTCTATCGAATGTTAGTTTAAAAGATGATGATATTGTATCAATTAGTGAATTAGATTTTTTACGTAATGTATCATTAATTATGGATCAATCTTCACCACGTTTAAAACAAAATTATATTATATGGCGTTTTATAATGAATAGAGTAGCAAATATGCCTAAACGTTATCGTTCTATAAGAGATCCATTTGATGAAGCTTTTCGAGGTACTAGTGCTCAACGTCCACGTTCAATAGTATGTGGAAACTTTATTAATGCTAATATGGGTTTTGCTATTTCGAAAATTTATATTAAACAATATTTTGATGAAAATGCTAGAAGTCAGGTATCGTATTATTTTATAAATCTTTAAGAATTAGAATCAAGGATTGAATATTCAAATGATTAGACATATGAAATTAAGAATGCAGAAAAATAGATTGGATTATTTTAGGTTTTTTTTTACGAATATATTAATTAATAATTGAATATTCATTTTTGTAAAACAGCATGTGAAGGAAGAATATCTCTGCCTAGCGGCAGATTTATTAGCTTGATATCTTTTCGTACAACTAATACTAGTTGTAGCTCTAGAGAGAAGACTGACCTGACACAAAAAAAGTGACCCATGTCGGACACTGGTGACTTGTCCAGGATCATTCCATAGCTGATAGTACTGAGGTTTGAATACAAGTACCTTATGGATATGTATCTACTCTTCAGATACTCTCTTCCGATTTCAATGCTTAGAAGTTTCGAACAAATTTTTATATATCGAAGAGACTTTGTTAAAAACTTTTCCGAAAATCTAAGACCTCTAGAAAAAAAATTCGATAGCTTAGTCAAACCAGGAAATCGAAAGAAGGCATCTGAAAAGATTTCTTCGTTAGGCATGACGGTTGAGATCTAAATATCATTCTATGTTCTGTTATTAGCTTATCTTTGAATGTATAATTCAGGTTGTCAATGCAAATAAATTGAGATGCATCCCTTGACTTTCAGAAAAAATACGAAACTTTTTAATAGTTAATCAAAAAGACTGGAATTTATAATACTGATATTCTAAGTTTTGGAGGAACGTACGCTAACAAGAAAACAACCTTAATTAATACCCGTAGTTTGAATTCATATTAGATTCAAAAGAAAGTCTAAAAGCGTTCATCTCCGTGGGCCTTTATGACGTCGAGTTATGACCAGTTTACTGAATTTTTGACTCATATCCAGTAAGTTAGTCATAACTCGACATCAAAAGCTCATAGGAATGGATTCTTTTAGTTTTTTGCCAGTCACACCGAGACCTGTTTTATGAATGGAATATGAGCTCAAACAGCGGATGTTCGCTGGGACATTTCCCTCGTAAATTTCAATAATTTTAATTGCACATCTTAGGAGAAATTATACACATGACTTTTTATCAAAAAACTACAATAAAATTCGATTGTTTGTTTTTTTTTTAATTTTAATTAGTCATTAGAAATGATAAATAATATTCGAAATACATTTCTTGAAATGCTACAAACGTCGACTTGGATGGATGATATTTCAAAAAATAGATCAATAGAAAAAGTAAATTGAAAAAAAAACATCAAGTAAACTTTTTTTGAATGTTTAATTATACTATAAAGGCATTAGCAATCGATGAAAAAATTGGTTATCCAGATTATTTAGGTAGTACTAACACATCAACACTCGATAAAATGTATCAAGATGTAAGCAAATAATTATATTGTTTACTAAAAAGTATTTATTCTTGATATTTTTTTTTAGTATATTTTCAATGCATCATATATACAAAATATTTTAAAATTATTACAAATAAAATCCAATGAAAATCTTCGAATACTTCGTGATCCTATTGATCGTAAAGAATGGGCTTCTAGTCCACCAACTACAGTCAATGCTTTTTATAGTTCATCAAGAAATCAAATCAGTAAAGAGAATATATATTTTTTTTCAAACATTATTCTTTGAATTTAAATATTCAAAATCGAAGTTCAAACATGTCGAATTTTCGTAGGCTTAGCTTACTCATGACTAAGTCTGCTTGTATCTATCATTAGATATTCCTCAGTCTAATCTATTCGTTTTAAGAGGTTTTTGATATAGTAACTGACATAATTGATTGTATACAAGTTGTCATTATATAAGAATCATCAATTTGAAAAATATTCGAACGATTAAATAAGTCAGTTTTTGAGGATGATTATTCTCTCACAAGCAGGGCTCTCGTTGTAGGCGCTGCTCTTCCGCACGAATTGAAAATCTATTTTATTGTCTAGCAAATTTTTAAACAGACGCTGTTCGAGGATCTTCGCAAGCTATCCCTCTCCCTTTGGTCCCGGTTTTGTTTTTGTGTATGGAACTTTTTCTGGGATTTGGTTCATCCCTAAAGGGGAATCTTCCCAAAGCTACCCTCCTGGGCCCAATCACGACTTTCTATGAAACATGGAAAGTGGCGTGCTATTGCCCGCCCCTTCCCACTCTCAGAAAGAATTAATTTATTTCTATCATTGAATTTTTGTTATTTTATTCAAAATTTTTGTAAAAGTATGCATAGCAAGCAAGTTTTCGTTTCTTGAAGATTTCAAAAAAAATCATAATCAGACCCAATAGTCTGTTTGAATTTCTAATCTCGCAAAATTTCTATTGATTGTGATTATATTATATATTTCTCTATTTTTAGCTTTTCCAGCTGGTATTCTTCAAATGCCATTTTTTAATAAAGATGCACCGAAGTAAATTTCTTTCGATAGAGCAAAAAAAAAACTAACTCTTGTGTTATTTAGATATTTAAATTATGGTGGTAAGTTTTAATGAAATAGAATAAATGTTGTAGAATATATATAAAATAAAATTTGAGCCATTGGAACGGTCATCGGACATGAAATTACTCATGGTTTTGATGATAGTGGTCGTCAATTTGATAAAGATGGAAATCGTGTATCTTGGTGGACTCCTGGAACTATCGAACGATTTATTGAGCGTAAAACATGTATAGTAAATCAATATAGTAATTATGTTGTAGCTCAAATCAATCGGACAGTAATGATTTAAAAAAAAAAAAAAAAACTTTTTCATACATTTTTATAATCTATTAAATATTTCAGGTAAATGGAAATCAAACTCAAGGTGAAAATATTGCTGATAATGGTGGAATAAAAGAATCATTTTATGTAAGTTTTTATTTTGAATTTATTTAGAAGATGAAAAAGAAAGAAAAAAAGCCAAAAAGAAATTTATCGAAATCTTGAGACAAATATTATTTCCCTATAGGCATATAAAAAATTATTATTAACAAAAAATGATCAAAATTTACCTGGTTTACAAGAGTATTCGAATGAACAACTTTTTTTTATATGGAATGCTCGATTTCGTTGCTTTTGGCAATATAATGATTATCTAGCCTATGTTAAACGATTGATTGAAAAACAATCACATGGTCATGCAATCGATGACTTTCGGTAGAAGAAAAAAAAATTTTTTTTTTTTTTTTGAAATGGATTTTGTCTGCGTGTTCCCTTTGTTTGTGGTTTTATGCATCCTTATTTTCTTTGTTGCATGTGTATATATACATATATGTTTATAGGCCTATCAAAAATGGGCTGCAACACCTGGAAATATTGAGAGAAGATTACCTGGTCTAACTGAATATTCAGCGGAACAATTGTTTTTTATTAATTATGGACAAGTTTGGTGTTCAAAAATGACTGATGCGAATGCATTGAATAGAATTTTAACAGGTGTTCATTCACCGGGAGAATTCAGGTAAAAGTGAAATAAAAATTGATGATGAGTTTATCTTCAATTAAAATTTCTGATTAATTCAATAGGATAGAAACATACAAAAAAATATATATTATTCGTAAATTTTAAAAAGAAATTAATTATTTGAATTTGATCGAAAGTGGTTACAAAAAGTTTAGAAACTTCTTTTTTTCTTAACGATAATAGCTAGAACAAAATAGAGAAAAAAATTCGAGTAGTTGAAGCAATTTTCTATTAGAAGTAGTATTTGTCAAATTTCCATTAACTCTTTCACGCCCATGGCTCAGCCAATGAATGAAATTTCTTTGAGACTTTATATTTAATATGGGCAGTGTGTGTTGTGAATATTTTCATCAAAACTTTTTAAAAAATCTTCAGAGTCATTTTCGACCCATTCCTGCACTCACCTACAGAGATGGTGAAGTAGTTATTTTTAGAACAGAGGTGGTGTTTCAAAAACCCATCAGGCTTACTACTTGAGTGACCTCATTAGGATTATAACTCTTATATAGATATATGCACCGAAATCTCCTCTATGTGATTGAGAAAACCTCTTCTCAATATCTCTTTGCATTCGCGAATTATTCAAAGATTACGAAACTCGAAAAAACCGTACTCTATAAAGTATGCTGGTACTTAAAGGATTAACAATAAATGTCGTATGATTGTGTTCTAATGTCATATATTAACACCTGCTTCAGTTGCTTTATGCATGTTCTTATTATTTGTCTTTTTAATTTTTCTTCAATCAAGATTTTTTTTTTAAATTTTCTAGAGTACGTGGTCCAACATCGAATTTTGATGAATTTGATCGAGTATTTAATTGTAAACCTGGACAAGGTAACAGTCAATTAAATAAATGTAGTGTTTGGTGATTAACAACAACAACAAAAATAAAATCTATTCTTATCTAATATGACTTTTACATAAAAACACAGCAAATTTATTTATCTATAAAAGAATATTTTTATCTTACTTTCTCTTTTTTTTTTCTTTTGCTATACCAATGTAAATGTAAAAAACAGTGAAGAATAAAATTAGAAAGCGTTCGATAATCTATCGGTATTAAGTAAAAGACAACATCTCAGAAGAATAAAATAGATTGGAACTAGAGATGGACGATTTCGACTCCAAAAAAATCTATCCTGCCGATTTCAATACGATTACAAAAAATATCGGTCCGCTTCTGACTCCAAGAAAAGCCAACTTTGTCCATTCCTAATTTGGATACTAGAACTTCGTAGGACTTCATAAACTCGAGAGACTTATGTTGTCTAATGTTTCCCTGTCTACGGTACAGTGTGATGATTTCGAGAATATGTGGAACTGGAACCGCAGCTGTGAGTTCAGTCTCAATCAGCAAATATACAAAAAGACACTAATTTCAACTTTGCTTCATAGAATGTATCGTTGGAACCGGTAATCTAATAATACTATACTAAATAACTAATATTTCCTTTTCTGAAAGAAAGCCTTACGACAGTGGTGTTGTTCATCTGATGCTCTAAAACAGTCAATTATTCCGTTACCAATTCGATCCGTTGACAAACAGGTCAACATATAGTTGAATGGAGACATACATGCTAGAGAACGAGGAGAACAGATTGACTGTTCATAATTCTCTTCATCTTCTTCGTTTGGACAACTCCAGTATCTATCACATCATGTATAAATACTGCTGCACTATCAGTGGTCACATTCAGTCTCATCCGTATGAGTTCGTCCATCGATCATCTCAGGCAACAGGTGAATAAATCGATCGCATATCTCTTCAAATAAGATTGCACTTATACTGATTTATTTTTTTAAAAATTAAAAAAAAAACAATAAATTCTTTAGCATCAGCGCCAATAGATTGTTTCTCCTGATTTATTAGGTCTTTGTCTAGACCAAGACCCTCTATCTACATCCTTTTGTGTGTGATCATTCAATTATTTACACCTTGTCTTTAAGAAATAACAATAAAAAAATGTTTTCTCACGCAGCATTGAGATATGTTATGCGCAGCTTTACATTATCATGTCTAGGTAAAGTATCAATAGACTTCGAAGGTAAATTGGCATTTAAGTACTCTATATATCATTTTGAAGAGTAAAGAAATCTCTATAATTCTGCATATTTCAAATTGACATACATGAGACTATTAATATTGTTTTAGGCAGCATTATGAAAAATATTGAGAATATTTTTGTTTGAACTTTGATAATTCACATCATAACTAGAATATGAAGGAAAATGAAATAGATTATGCAAATGGATATTGTGAGTAATCAAGTGATATACACACTATTGAATCAGATTCTGTCTTTATTGAACAAGATTTAGATTCTTATATAGGGGACCTGCTTAAAAAAATGTGATATCCGTAGTTTTTTTTTTATTTCAGTTTTCTCTCACGATGTACAACAGATTTCAATAATATCTATACTAACAAATAGAGGAAGTCTTCCTCTATAAGCCTACATATATCCCGATTTTTGATAAAAAATCAACGTGTAATTTATAATCGCCTTTTCATAGACAATATCTTTAGCATTGCCAAGTGCTGTTTCAAGAGCAAGGGCAATAGCTCGACCGATTATGTCATAAGTACGTAACGGATGCATGTCAACAGAATAAGTTCTGTTCACTCGAGGAATGAAAATGTATGATATGATTGGTGATAACAAGAATGGTACAAAAATTGAAACGTTACATTTTTCTTCACTCCCTTCCTATCGATAAAAAAAACTGATGAAATGTTCTTGTTGTGTGTTAAACAGTATCTATCGAGGTCGAAGGACGAACTTATTTATCAACGATCATAAGTCATATTGTCAGTAGATTAATGTTATAGACGACGCATTCATGCGACTGAAAGAATGTATGCTATTCAAAACCGTTTTAAGAGTATGTAGACGAAAAACAAATCGATGATAAACAATGAAAAAAAAACGAGCAAATAATAAGGAATCTCTATCATAAAGAGAGCTTAGCAGAAATGAAATATGCATATGAATGAGGGAAGTAATGGATGAAATGAAAAATTGGAAGTCAACTATTTATTTGAAAAATGAAGATATGAAACGATTAAAATGGACGTCAATTATATCAATATTGATGAATGAATTCATTCATTTCTGTTTCCAACATTTGAGACGAAGTGCATTATCGACAACAAGTTGCATATTTATCAAGTACTTCTAGATCAATTCAAATGTTTTGCATCAACACAAATACGAAATGTTGCTTCAATTAGTGACAATATTGTCAATACTTCACCGATATAAGCTGCGTTCATCGTAATCGATGAAATTTTCATGGTATGTTCCTATTTTTTTTAATGTGTTTTATCTTCAATACAGATAACAACGAACAGTAAAAAATAATCGCTGTTAACATATTGAATATGATGTATTCGCTCTTTCGATATGTCCTCTTATCTTATCTTCTTATTCTCTCTCCTTTTCTACACCTATCATTAAAAAAACGAAATAGTGTCAGTTTTTTCTCTCATTCTCTTATCAAAATAGTGTTATCTCACAAGGTCACACAAGTGAGACCTGTTGTATATGTTTATGCAAAAGTCGTTTTGATAGTCAAGAAGTTATGGCGTCCACTATCGAAGAACTATCTGTCGCTGTAGGTGACTCTGACAAGATTCTTGATCGACCACAATCAATTGTATGGCGCATGTTTCATGGAACTCATTATATGTTGGGAGGTCTCTGTTTCATTACTGGATCTTGCATGTATTTGGCTGACGTCGTCAATCAACATCCGATGGCATTGGTAGCCGGTGGATGGTTGTTTACCATCGGTTCCTTCTTTTTTCTGCTTGCTGATCTGCAAGAGTGGTGGTACTATCGAATTGGCTGCTGTTTTGATCAGCGTTATTGTGAAGCGTTCGAAACCTCGAATGCCGATGTATTTCGACATTCACGACAGACGCTACTTGGTCGATTCGAACGTGCTGAAATCGGAATTAATTTCTTTACTTCTGCATGTGGATCAGCTCTCTATCTGGCTGGATCGATTCTGTTCATACCAGCATTAAACAAATATTTGACACTCGGCGAATGGTTCTTCATTATCGGTTCAGCTGTTATCTATACATCACAAGCTTGGAAAGCTTATCGATCAGGCTGTACGAATAGTAATAATCGACAAAATCATCAATTTCGCCTAGCCAACCTTCTAAATGATATACCAGCTTTGGGCATCGATGGTTTTGCCGGAATTGGTGGTGTCTTTTACTTTATAGGCACCATCCTTTTTCTGCCTCATTTTAATATTGGTAATTTTGGCGAAAACAGAGCAGCAATACTTTTTGTGTTTGGTGGCATTTGTTTTACATTGTCAGGTTTCTTTCTTCAATATCGCCATTATTGTACTCACCATAAATGAATACGCTACCAGTCATAAGTCCCGCGATGTATGAAACTCAGGATGACTCGAACAAATTTACACAAAACTTTTACCAAAGATACCCCAAAAAAAACTGCGATTATCACCACTAATCCGCGCTCAATTGATTGAGAAAGAATAGAGTACGAACACTATTCTCAACTTTAATGATCGTAGTGTTGATTTTCAAAGAATTTCTTAATTTGCTTCCAACCATCATTTTAAAGCTCGTTATATCTCACGTTCTCGAAAATAAGCGTTATCAAAAATTTTCAAGATGCCATAAAGCTTGTTCGATCTCCAGTTATCTCTAGTTGAGTTTGCTCTAGAAAAGCGCACGATTAAGGTGTATGTGGATGTAGGTTTTGGTATCAGTGTCCGACATAGGTCACTTTTTTTATGACCCGACCCAAGGTCGACAGATAATTTTCAGACAATCGAAGCAAAATTTCTATAGAGATTAAGTACCTCTTACTGAATCTATAAATACTCTCTCAATAATCAGAGTAAAGAAATCATTATCACATCTCAAACTGCTATTTATTTTATGTGAAACTCGAAATCATTCAACTTTTTGTGACCCGATACGAGCTCAAAAAATTTTTAGATGATCCAACCCGACCCGATTCGAGTCGGACACTGTTGAGTGTGAATGCGGATTTAAGAGGAGAAGTCACATACTCACATTCACACCTCACACCAACACCTCATACCCACACCATATTCTTGCCCGTTATCTACTCCATCATTATCTCCTATTGTGAAAGTGTTTGAAATTTATGGTTCGATGTTGCATGATGATATATAATCCATAGTCCTAATAGTATTCATTAAATACTATCGACTAATCCATGAAAGAGTGGCTTTGTGAACTTCCTCACTGACATCATTTTTGTTTTAGTTGCATAATTTTTACAATTATTTTTCTATTATTGTCCAGATCCTATCAATGTTTTTGAATTGCTTCATGTGGCAATCAATAACTTTTATTGGCTACTATACGACGATATATAGTGCGATGCTTAAAATATCTGATTGTCAAGCTTTATCATCGTTAATATTGAATGGATTTTTTAGTGAGCGAAAATAATACATGGATATTCAAATACTATTGATGAGTTGCACTTTCGCTAAATGTTAGAGATTATTTTACTTTTCTAGTCTTTTGTTTATCTGTTTATCCTCAGTTCAAATCGAACTATGCGGCACATACTCGAGATGGACGCGACTATTCACGTATATGCGAATGTCTATCAGGACTTTTCGGAGCGCATGCTATGTCATTCCCATTGTTAAGGAGTGTTGGAAAAATATGAAAGACACCAATTAGTCCTTACGAAACTCGTTGTTAAAAAGTGAAACAAGACAAAACCACGCAACTTACCCAAATGTGACCAACGTTGCATACGGATCTGTCTCTCTCACAAATACCAGAAAAACTGACTTTCGAATTTCGACCTGAAATTTTACAAACAAATAGACCATGAAC